AAGGGTTAGGGTCGGATTAAATGTTGAGGGTTCATTTTCAGGGACAGGCTATGCATTATATTTATGCTAAGGTTAACAATCAATTCCGGCCAACAGGTGAAACGTTTTAATGACCAGCTAATGCCATACACAGCTGAAAATTCCCTCCGTTCTGTGTGACCCTGCACTCATTCCCCTATACAGGACTGGTAGGATGGCAGTGGGAAAGAATACCCTGAAACTTCTGTGTGTAGCTTCCTCTATTTGCTTCCAGCATCACCAATCACATTCAAAGGCAGGTTTGATTCTGATTGGTGGTAGTAAGTAAACTTATTAATGGCATTTGTTTTTGAACAAGCAGACTTTCTGTGTAAGATACAGTAAGGAAGCTTCTTCAGTGCCACCCAAAGGTGTGTTCCAGGATCACTGGTGGGGTGGACTGGTGCAACCTAAATAAAACTGAACTACCCAACAGGTAGGCTATGCTCACGTGTATACCCAAACGTGTTCAAGTGGAACAAAGTTTACTGCAGAAGAGACATAATCTGCAGTAATGGATTCTTACCTTCCTGCCCGGAAACTTCTCTTAAATGTACACGGAGCTGTGCATGTGATGCTTAGTGTACACTCTCAACATTCCCTTGTGCCAGGATGAAGGAATGTCCGTGCGTATGTGTAGGAGTAGCACCCAGGCCAATCAAGATGGCCAAAGATGCCAAATCCGAAGAAGCCAGAGGGAAAATGTCAGAGCTAGTGAGGACATTCAAAGACATTACATCACTGGAGAGGAGGTGAGCATTGGAGCTTTTAGTTCTGCTTTAAGGGCTGACTTTATCAGTTAGGTATTAGGATGCAGGTTATTGAACGGTTAGGAATAAGTTTCACATCAGAGGGATGGCTGAAAACATTTTCCTTTACACACTATGTTCTTTGCGCTAAAAGTGCAGCATGAAAAAACGTCCATATCTTTTTGTTCATTTACTTCTGCATATGGATAGAATGATCCCCCCACCCTGTCAACATGCATTGCAGTAACAGGATAGCAAATGACTTTGTGGGTAGATGCAATAATATGAAGACCAGTTATACACCATCTCCCTCTATTATAGTTTGCAGAAGTTGGCTGTATAGATTGGTTGTTGAAGCTAAACACTCCCAGCAAACGTTGATAGTTGCTTCATCTGCCTACCTCTAGATCAACTGACAAGCAATTTTCACTGGCAGTAACCTCTGCTTAAGGTACCGTATGTATAATGTACATTGTTAGCTGCCTTCTGATAATGCCTGGCTGTTGCCTGGCTGTATTTGGTTTCAATACTTTTGAGCTACAGGCCAGGAACAAACATGCTACAAATGAGTGTCAGAATTCCTTAAAGCAGAACTATACCGGCCTCTGTGCCAGCAATATGGGAGCCTACAAACTCCACACACCGGCACAGACATCTTTGCTCGGTCTACTCCCAGGTTCAGGATCTTCAGCCACCTTGATGATGTAACCCCTGCACATGCAGATGCCAGGATTGTACACTAAGCTGTGCATGCGTTGTACATTGACAACAATAAAATATTGGCAAACATTCTGAGCTTTGCAGCCGGAGTAGGTATTTAGCCTGTCCCCTTAACAAAATCCCATTAGTTTTAGCAGTTCCTGTTTGTGTGGCTTCCCATCTTCCTCTCAATGCCACTGCAGATAATTCTAACTGAAACAACAAAATGATGGAACCCTCAATCACTGGATGGCGCCGGGCATTCCCAAGTGCACGATATTTAGCACCAACGTAAAACATATGCGTCAGATGCAGAGATCCTGGAATTCACATATCTCCCTTCCTTCATCTAATCATTGAGGAAGCCATGAATCTAACAGTGACAACAAATTCATCTAGTTTCCGTGTTTGTTGGGGAAGCTTATTTGTACTTTGAGAACTTCAGCAGATATCAGCAGGTGTCAAAATAATGTTACTATATATTTGCAGTTATTTACAGCATGGTCATACAAATGTATATTGCTTCATGATTGAATCTGGAAGTGCTTCTTCAAATGAGACAAAACAGAGCTACGACTGGCGAAACCCTTCTGAAATGTTAAATGGCTACCATGCCAATTCCCAGACATGAGAGCTTTCTTTAACCCTTTCGCTGCCAAGGACGTATGGCATACGGACCTACAAAAGTGCTTCCAGCTGGCCAGGTCAGTATGCCATACGGACCTGGCATTTACAGTTCTACTATAAGCTGATGGTCGCTTTAGCGACCATCAGCTTATAGTATAACTGTTCAGCAGACTGTCCCCTTTAAATTAATAGCTGTCATCAGCGGCTCACAAGCCGCTGATGACTGCTATTATCAAAAATACCGCGGGCCCCCCCCGCCGGCACCGCCGCTGCCGGCCGCCGGCATCTGGAGTCTCTCATCCCTCCCTGGAGCCATCCCAGGGAGGGATGAGGGACTCCATGGATCCCCACTGCTTGTAGGGTCTGTGGCAGCGGGGATCCATTAAAAAATCACCGTCGGGGGGGTCCCGGGAACGAGCGGCGGCTGGCCGCAATTCAGGATGGCTGAGCGTCTTCTGTTCTGAGCCGCTGTCATCCTGTCAGTTTTTGGATGACAGCGGCTCTGTGTAGCGTGGCCGAGCGGGGGATCGTTAAATATCAATGATATTTAACGATCCCTCTGTGCAGAGCAAACACCGGAGTGATCGTCTGATCACTCCGGTGTTTGTAAATAACTGGGGACACATAGTACTATGTGTCCCCAGTTATGAATGAACAGGCTGCGATCTACATCACAGCCTGTTCATTCAAGAATTTATGAATGGGGACTAGCACTCACTACAGAGGCTCCTCCCCATTCAGAAACTAATGATAGTAAAATATTTTTACTATCATTAGTTTGTGAATGAATGAGAAGCCTCTGTACTGAGGCTTCTCATTCATTGAGTGCTGGGGCTGCAGAAAAAGAAATTGAGGACTTATGTCCTCAATTTCTTTTTCTATTTCAAAAGGGAAATGTCAGGGGTCTATTTAGACCCCAGATATTTCGCCGCGGCCCCCCCAACAGTAAAAAAATAAAAATAAAAAATTATTAAAAAATAAATAGAAAATGTAAAAAAATAAAAAATAAAAAAAATAAAAATGTAAAAAAAAAATAAAATAAAAAAATGTGTACAAAAAAAATAATAAAAAAAAGCACAACCCCTCCCTCCCCCCACATAACATACACATATTGAGGTGTACGCCATGCACATGCGCTGCAGTGCGTTGTTAGAACGCATCGCAGTGCATGATTTTTTTAATGTATTTTTTTCTTTAAAAAAAAATTAAATTAACTGTGGCAGCGCATGGCAAAGCTTTGTGACGCATTGCCATGCGTTGTGATCTTTGTGTTGCAATAAATATACGCCTGTATCATTTTATCACAACACAAACACCAACACAGCGTGACATTTTTTTTTAACATAAGTTGCTTATTTACAGTTTTGCGTACCGTAATTTTTTTACCTTTTCGCAAAAAGGCGCAATTTCAAATTTGCAAATATTTGTTATTTATTAACTCAATACAGTTTTATCTTTTAGATTTAGTCAGAAAATTATTATTTTTTGTGCGCTGATACTGATTTTAGTGTGTTTTATCAATTGAATTGTGTATTTTTATCGGTTTAATATTAATTTGAGAAACATTTGCGCAATTATCGCAGGGCCTACAAATTTAGTATCACCAGCTTTTTATTCTACCGGGCCTGCGCTTTCAGAAAATATATGGTTTGGGGGGTCTTTTACAAACGCTAGTAACGCAGCAGTTGAAAATCAAATCAATGGGAAAAGTTGGCGGCATCTGGAGCCTCTCATCCCTGCCTGGAGCCGCTCCAGGCAGGGATCTGTGACTCCATGGATCCCCGCTGCTGACCCCCGCTTGTAGGGGCTGTGGCAACGGGGATAAAAAAAAATCTCCAGGGTTGGGGGGTGGGGCGCGGAGCAGCAAGCGTCGGCTGGCGGGGAGAAGCCACAAGTTTCAGGATGGCTGAGCGGTGAGGAGAACGGAGCCGCTGTCATCCTGTCAGTTTCCGGATGACAGCGGCTCTGTGCGTGGCCGTACGGAGGATCGATAAGTATCATTGATATTTACCGATCCTCTGTGCAGCACAAACACCGGAGTGATCGCGTGATCACTCCGGTGTTTGTAAATAACTGGGGACACATAGGGGGTTATTCACAAAGCTGCCGAAGGCAACGCAGCAGTTGAAAATCAAATCAATAGGAAAAAATTGCAGAAAATTCAAAAATGGCTTGGCCAGCTGATTTGAAAAATGTTCCGGAGGGCTTGGCAGCGAAAGGGTTAAAGGGCACTAAGGACCACCAAATGCCTTCATGCATATTTAAATATTTCCAGAGCTTCCCATTTATAAAAACTAAAACCAGAGCTGGCACAGTCATGCCCAGAATTCCTCAACCATTTTTCAGTCATGGCACCCGTTAAAAGTATGCAAAATCTTCAGGCACCCCAGTCTAAAATGTCATAGATTTAAGGGGGTACCCAAGTAAAAACATACAAAAAAGTGGGTTTCACCCTTCACATCGAAGTGCCCCCTTCAAATTAAGATTCTCCAACACCCTTACATCAGAGCCACCCTTTCACATCAGAAGCCCCTCTATCACATCAGAGTTCTCCGTTTACATCAGTAGCCCCCTTCACCTAAGTTTTGATTCCCTCTTCACATCACAGTGCCACTACTGCAACATTTTGAGGTACCGCTGAGGAAGGAGGAAGGCACACCATTGTGCCATGGCAAGCGGGTTGAGAAAGGCTGCTCTAGCCTGCCTCTGTGGCTCTCCCTACTGATCAGTAAGGCCTCCCATCACATTATGTAGTCAAAAGGAAGGCTAAGGAGGCATGTCAGAGTGAAATCATGCAAGATCTTGCTGCAATTTGCATAACAGGAGCTCAGTTTGTAACACTGGAAAAATCCACAGGTTTAAAGTATTTTTGTGCAAAACACTGGATGATTTGATTGAATTACTTACTTCGTACTTCCTGTAGAAAATCCAGGCAAGGTCGGCTAGTTCCAGAGATGCTTAGCGATACAGCTAGAGGTGTCTGTCCTTCATAGTTCCTAGTGTTCGTGTCGGCTCCATAATTGTACAACATACGGGCACAGAGGACATCGTCCCGTAGAGCTGAAAGGTGAAGAGGTGTTTGCCCATCTTCTAGCCGTCCCAAGTTCGTATCAGCTCCCCTTTGCAAAAACATGCGACAATACGAATGGTTACTTTTGATCACAGCATAGCGTAGTAGAAACCCGTTTTGAATATCAATGTTGGCATTGTGGTCCAGGAGAATTTTGACGCAGCTGGATCTCTCTCGGATGATGGCAAGCTGCAAGGGAGTGGTGCCTTTGTCACTAAGGGGATCAACCTCCGCTTTAAACTCCAACAGTAACCTGACAAAAGAGTCTCTTCCATAGTGGGCGGCCACGTGTAGCGGCGTCCAGCCATCGTTGCTCTTGGCGTTAATAATGTCACTACGATATTCTGATTCCAGCATGAGACGCGCAATCCGTGCCCGTCCGTGCATGGCAGCATAATGTAACGCTGTAAATCCCCCTATCAAGTCCTTTACTGTAGGATCCGCTAAGGAGAAAAAAAGACAAAAAAAAGAGTTAGCACAGAAAATATCTTCTAGTACACATTCAGCTATTTCTTTATAAAATGTAAGAGGACTAAACATATACACATAGAATTTTATATATTTTACTTTGGGAAAAACTCTGCAAGAGGACACAGAAAAAAAAACCTGACAGGGGCTTAACCATTCCCTACTCCAGATACAAGAAAAAAATAAGTTTTAGCATTACATTATATTTCAGTAACTGACATGTTTAAAATAAATATTTACAAGCAGCCAACCATGAACTCATTGTAAATGATAAACCTATGTACACATAAAGGAAGCCAGTACTGACACAAGTATGCCACCCATGCTTTTAGAGATTACGTCACATGGGTGATTTTCCTGTTAGCAACATCGCTCGGGAGAGACTTCCACTTACCTCTATGGAATTGTTTCCTTACTGGCTTAAAAAGCTGCCGACTCTACCTCACTAGTGAGGGGTGGCATCTCGCTGTTCAGGCTTGCGAGGGAGCGACCACATTAACAGGTAAGTGAGCGTTGTCGGTTAAGTCACTGACCTTGAACGAGTTTGCAGTTCGGGAGTTCTGATTTCAGTGACCACATACTTGTTCTGTGTCAGTAATATGAATGAAAGCCAGTCAGGCAGGCAAATTGCATGTTAAAAAAATGGGTCAGCAATGGCACCCTACATACTTCTCACAGTAAACAACTCCTTTAGGGTACATTCACACCAAAATCCGAAGGAAATCGCAAGTCAATGGAGGGTGCCTTGACTTGCACTTGTACCTTACCTTATGACCCGTACCTTATGATTTCCTGCCAATCCATTGTGTTGTGATCCGTTTTCAACGGATGCAAACGGAAGGGCACCAAAAAAAAGAATGGGTGTGAATAGGGCTAGTTCACAACCAGATCTGTTGCATTATGTTTTGCTGAAAAAAAGTAGTGCATGTTCTCTTTTTTTTTCATTGTAATGTTAACGGAGCGATGTGAACTAGCCCCATTCACACCCATTCATTTTTCGGTGCTCTTCTGTTAGCATCCAATGAAAAACAGATCACAACTCAATGGATCCGGGTGCGAATCGGCCATTAAAGTCCAACTCCAGGGAAATTAAACCATTAAATTATTCTTGCAGTGGGGCTGCCCCTACATGGCAAGGGTTAACTGCTTGTTTATACCTAGGGGACAGGAAAAAGCTGTTTTACTTACCTGATCCTCCATCCTGCTGGCTCCCTCCAGACTGCTAGATGAGTACCTGAAGCCTCTTTCCCCCTTTGCTCCAGTGGTGTAAGGACTGCTGACATCATTCAGTACAATGCAGACTCAATAGCACTGCATTGCACGTCAGGATCTCAAGGGACAGCCTACAGTCGGAGAAAAGGTGAGCGTCCACTGCCGGGGGAAGTAGGGATCAGGTAAGTAAAATAGCTTTCTCCTCTCCTCTAGGCATAAATGAGCAGTTCAGCCTTGGTGGTGGTGTTGGTGGGGGAGGGGGGAAGCCCACCGCAAGGGAAAACTTTTCCTTTCTCTGTCGTTGGGCTTTAAACTGGAAATCCAAACCAAACTTTCTTTATAAGTTTTGGATATGGTACGAAAGAGTCAGGTGTTCACTGTTTTATGATGTATGGAAGAATGGAACTGGTTCCAAGAGACACCTAGATAATTGTATGCAGGATGTGGACAACTATTACGAATGCAAACAAATGCAAACCTGTTTTTAGTTTTGTACAGAGTCAGGAAGACGAGGATCCTCTGTCGGGTTTTTATTGTTCTCTGTGGGCCCTGTTGGTAAGACTTCCCTTTACTTCCTGTATAATATTACTATTCTGTACAAGCTTCAAAGTGCAATAAAATTTATTGCATTTCACAAACTAACACAGGACTTGCAGCCCAGATGTGTCCTCTCTTGCCTCCTTGCCCCCTTTTCTTGCCTCATGTCCTCGCTAAGAGAAAGCATGTGTAAGAACATCTGCCGATCAGTGGATTTCCTGTGGTCTGGCATGAATGGTGTAAGGAATTTAGGTAACATGCTCCTCTGTGGCTTGTCACCCTTCCAAGCAACACAACATACATTATTTAAAGGCCTCCTGGTACACTGTGTTCAGTTTTGAAGGAACTTGTCCCAGTAGTTTATTTAAATGAACACAGAGGGACAGGAAGAAAGTGCGGTGCCAACGAAGCCAGCGCTAGAAGAAGCGAGGCGGCACTGGAGGGAGCAGAGCCTCATAAGCAGATGCCTTCTCTATAGCGTCGGCTCCTGTCACAGGCGTAGTGATACCAAATGCACTCCGCCTGTGAGGAATCAATAGTGAAAGCTCGCTTCGCTCATTCTGGCCAGCGATTGGTTAGCAAATTGTTTATGGTATGGCACCCCTGATTGCCCTGATCACCATATTTTTATACATGTAGACCTTTCTGCATGAATAAGTGTGGATTGTTTTTTTTTTTGACACACAACTTTATTGCTATTACATCGGGGGCTAAGAATCCCCCTATATAATAGCCAATTTACATGACAGGTCCTCTTTATGAAGACATCAGGGGCCTCCAAGACCCCTAATGTCACCTAGGGACCCCCAGAGAAGCTGATGAAGCAGAGATCTGCTTCATTAGCTTCTGTAGCTGGAGAGTGACAGTGACACTAAATGCAGGAAGTGATGTAATCTACATCACTTCCTGCATTCTGGGATTGAGAGATCAAAGGGAGTTTGTATACTGAACTCCCTTTGATCTCCTGTCACAGAGCCGTGCCGGTCCCGGCTTTATAAGAATAACACCGGCCTATTTAATGTGTAATAAAGTCAAGTAAAATAGTACCCTCTCCTATAGATGTCCACACTCCCCTCCTCAAGGTAAGGGATGGTACAACTTGACAAAGAGCAGGGAAAACCTTAGGGGCATATTTACAAAGCAGTGAATCTGTCATTTAGCAAACATTCTCTGCATGTGAATCTTCCAGGTCCATGTGTCTTAAATAGCAGTGCTTGATTCCCCACCAGAGAAAATATAGTGAAAGTCACATTGCTGGCCTACCCAGTGCGTACATTGTGGACTTGCTTAGTTATGATACACTGCAATACACACACGGTCTAATTATCTAACCATTAGGAGAATAGGGATCTTTCTTTTTAAGTAAAATATGGAATATTGAATTTGCACTAGGGTTGTTTCCATACAAATTATATTAGAGAAGTCTGTCTTCAATAACAAATTAAACATCTTTCAAAGAAAAATAAAGCATCCGTATTCATAGCTTTATTTTCCCATACTGCACTACAAACATCAAACAGACACTTGCTGTTCTTTGGACACCCTTGCTTACAGATCTGTCCAATGTGGGCACCATAGCATGTGGGCAAGTACTGTGAGATTCTGATGGTAGTGATTACTGATGGAATTAAATTGTATGAGGACGTCACTTTCACACTAGAAACCACAAGACAGAGAAACATGTTATTTGGCAACAAAAACAGAGACATGGGGACATCAATTTGGTGACATCATCTTGACAGGAACGTTTCTGAGCATATGGATCCACTTTATGTTCACTTAACAAGGACTCCAACAAAACATGGATCACATTAAAGGGGTGGGACAATGGCTTAAGTACCTGCTACAATTTAAATGCTGGCTCATTGAGGTCATGCATATATGTTTGATTCTATTACTCAATTGAAGGCACATCTTTGAAGACATATAATGAAGAATAACCAAGTTATCTGTAATGGGAAGTCATGTACAGTAAAAAGCTATACACATAACAAGTCACTTCTCCGTGTTACTGAACAAAATATTATGGAATGCACTGCCATCTAGTGGAACTACAGTGATAATCACCAAGATGGACAAACACTGACCAGTAGATAACATATAAGATATAATGAAAAGGAAGAGTATTATGGCTCCTTCACAAATAATCAATGATATGCAGCCTAAAGGCCCACTATTGGGAAAATATATTGCATTGCGCGTACCGTATGTGATTAAAGTGACCCTGTCACTTGTGTAAAGGTAATTCTGCAACACATACCTGTAAAAGATAAGTGAACATACATGACTTTCCTGCCGCACATGCTGCTGAACTCCGCTGATTGTAAGGCATGGTCCCTTATATTCTATTGCAAATCGGACACTTCCAGGAGTGTCAATCTCTGTCGTTTCCTGCAGTTCTCACTGGTTCCCCCACCTGACACCAGCGCAGGAGAAAGCAGTAATGTATAGGACAGACAAAGCAACCAGTAAGAGTTGCAAGGCACAAGGTGATCGACACTCCTGGTTCGCCAAATTTAGGTAGCATTCAGCAGCACGGGCACCAGGAAAGCCAAGGTATGTTCATAGTTCTTTAACAGGCATTTGTTCAATAATTTTTAATTTTTTTTGTTTTGTTGTTGTTGTTGCTTGAACTGCTCAAGCACCCCTCGTAATTTTACATTGATTGCAAAACAAACAAAAAAATTAGAATGTTATTACATCTAATTACTGCATACAGGTACCAGAATACAATCCCTGGAATTCATAAAAAGAAAATCGAAAATCATTAGAAATCTGTCTCCCGTCCATGCAATAAATGGCGCAACTTGTGACCAATTCATGTAACTGCCGGTAAGGTGAATATGAATCTGTTGAAACTGAATTTTGTCTGCAACACACTTTACTCTAACATGAAAAAAGTTCTTATTTACCTTCATTTATCTTATCACAAGCGCATTAGCACATAAGAACTACCTGAATTTGTTGCACTCATTGTAAATTGCAAGAAAACTGTTGCACAACTTTGATGAATTTTGCACAGGACTTTCTAATATGGCCATAATGCCAGAAAAGTGTTGCAAATGCTTTACTGAATTGCCCCCCAATTTTTTTTCCCCACTTAATAGTAATAGTAGTGCACCACAACCCACACCATGTGCTTTGTGGTGTGCTGTCTATTGCCACTACTATGCAGTGTGTTGGGATGCCAGATAAAATAACTGCCGCTGCAACAACATGGTAAATCTTGCGTTTAATGCATGTCACAGTAACACTACTATTGGAATGGTACCTAAATATTTTAGGGTGCATTCACACCAAAATTGGAAGGAAATCGCAAGTCAACAGAGGGTCCATTGACTTGCAATTGTATCTTCTGATCTGTTGCGTTGCAATCCATTTTTTAATGGATGCTAACAGAGGGGTACCGAAAAATGAATGGGTGTGAATGGGGCTAGATCACGCCGGATACCCTGCGTTACATAGTTACATAGTATTTGGGGTTGAATAAAGACATACGTCCATCAAGTCCAACCCATATAGGTCCACGCATCATCTCATTCTTAGGGATACTGGTATCCATGGATATTACGGTCCCTCAAGAAATTGTCCAAACGTTTCTTGAACAAATCTACACTCTTGGCTGAAATCACTGCCGATGGCAGTGAGTTCCAGACCTTAACCGCTCTTACTGTAAAGAACCCTCTTCGCCCATTGTGCTGGAATTTTTTCTCCACCAACTTTAGGTGGTGGCCTCTAGTCTTTGTAATGGAGTTAATCTCAAACAGTTTGTTGCCAATGTTGCTGTCACCATTGAACATCTTGTACATGAAAATCATATCCCCCCTTAATCTCCTTAATTCCAGCGTAAACATGTTTAAGGTCAGAAGCCTTGTCTCATAGCTCTGGTCCTCCATTCCCCTAATTAGTTTTGTTGCCCTCCGCTGGACT